CCACGAAACTTCGCATGATTCAGGAAAGTTACGCTTTTTGAGACATTATTCAAATGCTACAGTAGTAGATCACATGTTGAAAACATACAAAAAGATTGCATTTGTTCGCGAACCTGTGGAGCGATTTCTATCGGCCTACCGGAGCAAATTTGCACCCGTTGATCCACCTAGGAAGGGATATTATTACAACATCGGCCTAGACATCATCAAGAGGATGCGGAAGAACTCTACGGGGTTAACTCCACATTATCCTACATTTAAGGAATTCGTAAATTACGCGATTACTACGCCTGTTAGCTCTCATGATGAACACTGGGATCGTCAGCATAATTTATGCGCTCCGTGTGATATAAATTATGATTTCGTTGGCTTCTATAATAATATCAAAGCAGATGCTGACCTCGCTCTTATGTTGATGGGAGCCGATGAAGAGGTTACATTCCCAAATGTCGAAGCTGCACCCGAAGGACGAGGATCACAAACGAAGATGAAGACTTTCTATTCAGGAATATCACAAGAAGAATTCACACGACTGCAGAATATATACGCAAAAGACTATGACATTTTTGGATTCAAAAAGCCCAGTTATCAAGAAATAGTGCATCCCTAAATTGCTTCAACAAGAATTATAGCTAGTAAATTTGTGTAATCAAATTCAATTGCGCGAGCGTGCTTCATAATCCTATTGTGCGCGTTCATGACGTCAGAAAACAAATCCCTCGAGAAAAAAAAATTTCCATCGGGTTGAAAATGTTATAAAACAATTGGTTCATACGTCAGCTGACTTTTATTCTCAAGAAGGTAGAGTTGCTCTCGGCTACGCCTTGAGCAACTCTTACGCATCTTTGGTGCTCTCCAAACTTCCCGCGTGCTTCATATCTCGATGAACGCACGCTGACGTATGAACCAATTGTTAAGGAAAATGGGAGGCAAACCATAGCACGAAAAAGGATTGCTTTTTAGAATGGCTTATAGCTGTCACAGCCATAGTGATGCTATGGTTACTTTGTTTGTCCAAAAAAAATAAATAAATAAAAGATTTTGATCTTGTTGAGAAAAAATTGGGCTTTTATTTGAAACCATTCAGATCGTATCAGGACATGTTGACATTTGTGTCTTTCTCATACATAAGATTCTTTTTACCTTGCTGTCTGTTTTCAATATGCTTTGTTTGATTTTCAAATTTAATTTTCTACATTTCTATGTCTAAAACAGAAAAAATAACAACAGCAACACCCCGATCAATGAAAACTTTGCGTGCACCAAACCTTCTCGACCAGACCAAAACAACACTCGCAGCTCGTGTTTCCCGAATCAACCAGGTACGTATCCATACCGGCGTTTCATCTCTCTAAGCTTCGGGACAAAGAATCGCAGATAAAAGTGACTAATTTTAACATCTAATCTCTTCCCGCAATTTCGGTAAATTAGAGCAATTTCTGTGATTGGTCCAAAAAACCCTCGTGCCACTCTCTTGACCAATCAGTTGCGAAAATTGAAACCAAACGAGTCTTTGTCAATGGCGTTTTCCCGTGTCTCAGTCAATTTGTTTGTGGCGGCTCCTTGCGATAATTTTCTTTGTTCTGATCGGCCGTCAGTAGTTGCTTTGGTTTTGGTTTAACGGGTATTAGATGATATTAACTTTCATATTTTTCTATCGAGTGTCAAATATAATCAGGGATTGGGATGGTTTTCTTCCTACGCTCAATGATTGGTCCAGAAAACTCGCGCGACTCTCTCAACCAATCAGCAAACCAAAACGAAATCGCAACTTGTTTAGTTGAAAATTGCTCAAACATGGCTCTTTGTTTTATTTTCCTAAAGTGGATCTTTAAAGAAATGACGGCCACGCGTCGAACACACCATAGTGCATTCCCACCTGGGGAATTCTCTGTAATTCTCTGTAATTCTCATAATACTTTAAGGTGAATCCTCAGTATCGCACTGCGCGTTCTGTACTTTGCATAAAAATCCCGTAGTCAGGCGAATAAGGGCTTGTGCATTCCGAGAACACAGTATTATTTTTCAATAAATGGACCAAGTAAAGATGTAAGATGGTTTTTACGGTAATGGCTTCTTTTGTTTTGTTTTTTTAATTTTTATTTGGTCTTTGTCATAATTTTGGTGTACAATTTATACCCTTTTAATTGGAAAAACAAAAAAAATTCATCGAGGGAAAAGTGTGCACAACACCTGTTACTTGTGGATGCAAATTATTACCTTGAAAACGACGACTCGAGGAACATTTCGCAAGTCGGTGTCGTTAAAAATTGCGTGATTTTTTTTCACAAATTATATAACAAATTGTTTCATTCACTCGAGACTTTCTACCCATCTTTTTTTTTAAGAGTGGCTTTAAAAACCTTTGTTTCCAACTACCTCAAATTGTACCGTGAACCAATGAAATGACGCGCGTGATTAGTGCCAGAACAGGCTTAAATAGGGTAAGTTTGGCCTAATTTTTTTCACGTTAACCCACATTTACCCTAAGTCAATCATGTTCTATACATAAACCAACTTCTGCCCCAGGCTAGGCATGTTTTACCCCATTAACCCACGTCTTCCCTAAGTTAACCATGTTCTGCCACATTAACGCACATCTTACCCTATATAACCATGTTCTATCACATTAATCCACATCTTCCCTTACATAACCATGTTCTACCACATTAATCCACTTGTACCCTAAGCAAGGTATTTTTCACCCCGTTAACTTACATCTCCCCTAAGTTAACCATGTTCTACCTCGTTAACCCACATCTACCCTAAGTTAGCCATGTTCCACCACGTTTACCCACATCTACCCTTAATTAGCCAGTTCTACCGCGTTCACTCATATCTACTTCATGCATGCAATTCCTTTAGACTTATTCCTATGGTCTTCACCCTCTAACAGTCCGTTGCATCTCCCTTGTCACGGTAAGATTGCTCAGTTATCGTCAAGTACTTTAGAAATTCTTGAAAGTAATTATCTGCTACGAGTTTCATTAGTTTCAGGGCCGTAGCCAGGCCTCAGAACAAGACGAGGCAAGTTTCGAGCGCCGAAGGTGCGAGCCGCTATGGGGGGACTGGTGCATTCCCCCCCCCCCCCCCCCCCCCCCAAGAAAATTTTAAAATCTAGAGGCTCAAAAATGCTCTTTTAAGCATTTCCCACGGCATTTTTCTTCAGAAAAGTCAATCTTGAGCCAAAATCAAGACGAGGCAATTGCCTCGTCTTGCCTCGTGCTAGCTACGGCCCTGAGTTTTAGGTTATTTGGGATTTCATTAAATCATCGGCTCGTTCGTCGTTCATCGAGAACAGCTTCCCAGATAGCTGCCAAGTTGGCTCACATGGAAAAATGGAGAGATTTAGGATACGCCCGTCTCGCTTTAGACCAACCTGATTGGTGCACAGTTCTATTTATTTTACTTTACGGTCTCTGTAAAGGTGATATATAATACATAGTTTCATTTGCTATTGGAAGAGGTACTAGTTCCCATACGACAAATCAACCCTCCACGCTTTTATAAGCAGATTTAGACGGTTTATTGAGATAATTTAGATATTGTATTCATCACTGATTAGTTAAATAGCGTGCGTTCACTTCCGTTACAATCTTAATAATTCCTTATTCGCACCAATTAAACTTGTTTAAAATTTAAAAATTGGAGAAAGAAGCCTGAAACTAAAGCTTCAACAGAAAATTTTAAGAACCAGCCCTTATAAAACGATTTTTATTAAACAACATTTCAACATGTTTAAACTTTGCTGTAAGTAATGTTTTTAGCAGGATACTTGAACGTCCGTACACCAATGATAACGAACAGAAGTAAGTTTCAATTAGTTTAGCTTGTCGGTTTATTATCCACTTTTATAATCGGTGTTGTAAATATTCAAATGTTTCATAATTACATTGCTTAATTGTATGTTTCAGATCGAATAATTCCTTCAAATAAACTTGTTGATTATACGATTGATGGTTTCCCGGCTTTTTGTGTCAATTATCCAACAGTCCAGGTAGATGTGGGTTAACATGGTAGAACATGGTTTACTAAGGGTCGATGGGCTTTAATATGGTAGAAGATTGTTAACTTAGGGTAAATGGGGCTAAAAGTGGTAGAACATGGTTTAGGGTAGATAGGGATTAATGTGATATAACAATGTTAACTAAGGGTTGATGGGGGTTACGTGGTATAACATTTTTAACTCAGGGTAGATGTAGGTAAACGTGGAAGAACATTATTAACTTATGGGAGATGTGGGTTAATATGATAAAACATGGTTAACTAAGGGTAGGTGCGGGTTGATGTGGTAGAACATGGCAAACCAAGGGTACCTTGGGGTTAACGTCGAAGAACAATGCCAAATGGGACATATTGTGAGCCATACATGAATTGTATAATAGTTAGTATTATTATGGGAGGTGTTAGTATTGAGACGTCCTTTTGGACAAGTTACTACATCACGGGCGACGAGCCGGGGAAGAAAAAAAGTCCGCATTACGAGTGGTCAGCTGTGAAATAGTTTTAAACAAATCATTTGTAGTTCCAGTAAATATTCGTGTTATAAATCCCAAAATGTTAACAGTATACTTCGCTAAATAAAAAGTTAAGAAATTTTTTAAGTGTTGAATGTACATTTATTTTTTACAGCTGTAATAAACAATGGAGGCATCCGGAAAGGCATCGGTGGCATCCCTTGTGCATTTCTTAAATAAAGGAAAAAAATATAATTTGAAAGGCAGAGGCAAGGTAAGGTCTCTTGAACGATTAAAAATATTTGAATCACCGATGCGTTTCCCGATACCATTCCCAAGCATTTAAAAAATTGTTACAGTCAAAGCTTTTGGAAAATTGCTTAACTTTTAAATTAGCGAGGTATGACTTCGTGACAGTTCGGCCCTTCAACACGATTGTCTTCTGTAACTACAAATGATCTGTTTCTATATGAAGTATTAAAGTTGTTTCACCGCTGACCACTCACGTTTCGAACTATTTTTCTTTCCCGATTCGTCGCCCGCGACACAACAACTACCCGCTTAATATGGACGCTTTGACTTTCCTGGCCTATGACGGTAGATCGTGGACAAAACTTCCGATTCGTCGTTTCGTTATGGCGTTTCATCGTTTCCGCACACCGATACTTCTTGTCGACCCGTTGTTTTCCGAATTCGACTCGTCGAATTTCTCTTTACCCTCTCTTTCTCTCTTGTTTTGTAGAACCGAAGAGTACTCTATCAGTAACAAAGATATGAGTCGTAATCAAGCCGTGATCAGTGCATTCAAAAGCGATGCAGTATGGATCCAGCAATTAAAGGACCCTTCCCTCCCCCGATACTTGTTTGGATTGTATAAGGCTTACATGAAAAGAAACACGCGAGGAGCGGCGAAAAATGATACCAGTTTTGGTAATTTGTATTGCCTGTCTATTGAGATATTCATTCATTCATTCAATTCAGTAGCAATCTTTGGGGTGCTGATGCTCGCCAAGTGCGGACGCTTTTTCTGATCATTATCAAGGTATGAAATTAGCATAGAAACTAGAAAAAGAATCGCAACTTCCCACAGCTAGTCAACCCAGTTTGATTTTTATTCTTAGTTTCTTCAATTGGATAAAATATAAAGAATTTTCTATGACTGTTGACATTTTTATACACCAGTTTATCTTTTGGAATGTTATTGTAAAGCAAGCCACAGATGTGTGGGTCCTCAACAAAACAATCCACATTGATGATACCGAGAGTGTTTTGACCGGAATAATAGGTATATTTCTCAGAACTTACAGGTGTAATCTATGCAAAGTTACATGTTTAGCAAAAAGAGGCATAAGTTGTTCTCTCTGCACAATATTACATGCATGCATCCACTGCCACCAGAAAAATCTCTACTCTGAATAATTTCTGATATCTTGCATTTATAAACAATTTGCATGATAAAATAATCCATATGAATGTTGCCTCATGTAGTGTACCTGTAATATATATATGTACCACAGATGAGTAGTTCCTGTCATATATATATATATATATATATATATATACCACACATGAGTAGTCAAATAATTAAAAGCGACATGCACTTTTTGGTTCTTTGTACAAGGAATCTTAACATAGCATAAACTTGTACTTAAAATAGTAACTGCAACAAAATAATTGCATGTGTTCTTATTCTTGTGATGTTGTAGCCATTGATGACCAGGAAGCTCTACAGAATTTTATTTTGGCTGAAAAAATCTGCTGGCTAATACTCTACTTGTCTTATTTGGAGCCCCACAGTCTGCCAAAATGACGGCACTAAAAGCTACTCTTTCAGTTGTTGGCAAAACAGATATTGTACAAGGTATGTGGTGCCCTATTTTTTATTTAATACTGCATAGGTCCCCTTGGGAAAGTTTTATCAATGAGCAGGCAAAGGAGAAGTCTCAGATTACTGTTTTATAGTCAGCATGGATGAGTTATTGAGTGCTAACAGGGTGCAAAGAAATTCAGTTTTACAGCTTTCTCTTTGGGAAAGCTGAAAGTCATTTTTATTAGCCTGCAAAAATTTTTTTGCAAGCAGAAAAAAAAGAGCTGCTTTGGTCTTAGTGCTGCCACACTCTAGAATTTTTGCTAGGTCCGCCGCAACACATAAATGATTAACATGCATTTTAGACATTTTAGAATTTAGAAACACGTTTTTTAAGAAAAAAAAATGGCATTGAAATGGTGAAACCAGAGTTCTCGATGGACACACATATAAAACAACATCAACAACATGGTTCATCTTGTTACAAGTAACCAAAGGTTTTAGGTTTCAAAAGAACAAAAATGTTCGTTTCATTTCTGGCAACTTTTCATCTGAAAGATTTTTGTGAAAAGTGAAAACAGTACAATGTGGTCTATATAGTTTAACCAAAAAATACTTACAGTATTGGTGTTTAGAAGTGTTTGGAACACATTAAAACCATAATAAATTTCTCACTGGAGTTTAGGATCAAAACCTTTTGTTTACATTCCTCACAAATGATTATGAAGCAAAATTTAGTCAAATAGCTTTCTCTGAATTAGTAAGAATTAGTCACGGGCAACATTTACCTCCAAAGCTTTTTTCAATATCTGCTTTTACTGTATGCATGGGATCTCAATATGTCTCATCTGACATGTAATGTGATACTTTGTCTTGTTAATGCAGATTTCATTTTGTTGGAGCGACTTTCAGTTCGCATGAATTTTATTAGGAATTTAAAACACTTGTCTTATAGTACTTCTATAATTTAAATTTCTGAAAATTCACTAGCCCGATTGCAAAATCCACTAGCCCTGGGTTATCAGACATGACTTTCTTTGCACACTGGCTAATATGCAGTATGTGATTTCATAGAAAAAACATTGCTGACCAAACTAAACCACAGACCAAAATTACAAGTTCCATGGCTATGTATATGCATGCAGTGCCATTTGAGTGAATGATGACATTACATTAGATAGTTTGCCATGTTTACCATACCAGACTGTAAGAGTTTATATAAGGAGTACTTTTCATTAATCTCAATTGAATATTTGTTCGTCAAGGAATGACTTTCAAGGCAATAATGGATGCTGTCTGCAAGACACCCATTCCATTTGGCTGAGATTATTGCAAATTTTACAGACTGTCCAGTGGAGATTGCAGATGATCAAGAGCTAGTTGAAGATCAGAGGGCCTTGGTGTCCTACTCCCTCCTGGTTTTTGCATTCAAAATGGTGAGTATACAAATATAAACTGGGTAACAAAGAAAGTTGGTTGCATTGGGATGGAAGCCATTGGTTCTACATCCTGACACATCAGCTCTGATATTTAGTGATTGGATTAATCCATCTGAAAGAGAGCAAAATTAATAAGTGCATGGATGGGAAGTTATGTAAATAAAAATAACTGAAAAATAACAATTCAGAACAAAATTTTGCATTAATCCCGTTTAAATCATGACTGTAATTTCATTATGTCTCACTTATGATGCTGTCTCTTCAATTAAATGCAGATTCTTGAGAAGGTCGGGTTGCCAAAGCTCTTCATCCTTCTAGAGGAAAAAATTTAAAAAGTTGTACTGCCAAGTTATGTGGGAGCATCCCATGTCACTGCAACATCTGTTCAGTTGCCAAAGGACGTTTGCAGTGACACCAACAAAGCATTGACGAATTCCTTTGCATCAATTACTGCTTTCAATGTTCAAAATGTAAGTATTGATAATAGTGTTATGATCAGTTGTTACTAGAAGCTACACACATGCATATGTGTATATATATATATATATATATATATATAGTGTGTGCAGTTTTTTTTCTTGATATTGTAAAATTTGGCCTGCAATAATTATTATTTTGGTTTCCTTTTCAGGTGGTTCCCTTTGTCAATAATAGAATAAAGCCCTCTCAATGAAGCTGTGGGGAAGCTGTAGCTTTTAATGTGCCTTGCTTAGCTCGGCACATTAAGGTTACTGGTATCGACCCAGTGATAACCAATGCCACTATACGGCATTTCATTACCTCTAACGTTATCAGTTGTGTGGCGAAGTCAAATAAGGTTTGGAGCTGAACAACAAGCTTGACATCTGCCTACACAAGTAAGTGTTACCTTGATGCTGAAATTTTGGGTGGACTTGATAAAGGTAAAAATGTACAATTTAGACAATAATGCTGCAAAAAACTGATATGTTCTTTAGAGAGAAATTTTCATTTGACTTTGCCCATGCCATTTTTATGTAATGTAATGTTTATAAAAGTGGGCATAAGTGGGAGAACCTAGAGTCCATAAAAAGTCTAGCATTCTTACACATTACAAATATATGCACATGTTTTCAAAAACATTGCAATTTGAAAATATTTAGATATACCTTTCCTGTTTTAATTGAAAAGGTGATAGACGATGCATGTATATTTCAAATCAAAGGAACTAAACTATAGGAACTTGTAAGTGAACTGCCCTTGTCAGCAACTGTTGTTCCTTTTCTTCCTTTTTCACTCATTTGAAGAGAATTGTGTTGGTTTGAAGGCCTGTTTGAACCAGACTATACACCATAACACATACAAAAGTCTACAAGGCTTCTCTGTTAATTCTGTTTTGCAAATGATTATTGTTTTACTTTCTTGTTTTCAGTTTTTTCATCACTGACTACCAGTACCACATCTAGTACGTAATAATGAATTGAATTAATTCATTTAAGTACAAGTGCTTTACCATGAAAACAATCAGAATGGTTGTTTTCATGGTAAAGACATCCTGCTCCAAAGGCCTACTGTTTCAGCCTGCTGGAATTATTGAGCCACTCCATTGTTCAAGGTGGTCCCAGTTTTAGTGCTTTACATCCAGCAATCTAATTCTACTAAGCAGATGCAAACCTTCTGTATGTACTCTCTCAACTAAGAAGACCAGATTTCCTCCTCAATGCAGGTACTTTAGTGTACTTACAGATTTTGTTACATTTATGCTCACAAGAACATTGGAATGTACTTAATTTTGTACACTTTGTATAGGGAAGAAACAGGTTCATAGAGAGGGGGTTTATTCAAAAAATCATACTTTCAAACAAGGAGCTTGTTAGAGACAGGGCTAACAGATGGACTACTATTTTTTGAGGGGAGGGTTTGGCAGTTACCACAAAAATATTCCTGCACAACTTGACCCCAAGAAATTATTTGTAGCTCAGAAAAAATTGCCCACCCTTTTCTCAAAAAGGGCAATTACCACAACAACAAAAAAATTGCCCAACCTCCCCCCACCCTTTCTCAAAAATAATGGTCATTCCCTTAATAGAGTTTTGACATAAACAGAATCAAAGGGTAAGTGAATTATTCCTGTCCCAATCCATATGGCATATAAAGTGACAATGGAACATTTCTGATAGGTTTTTTTTTCTTCTTTGTTATTGAAGAAACTTCACAACCATCCTTCCTCTGAGTCCTTCTGGTCAGTGATAAATACTTCTCACTGGCCAATAACCAAGAAGATAACAGTTCAGAATAAGGCACATCTTGTACAAAACCTACTGGAGAGTGAAATAATCTTGTCCAGGAAGTTTTAGATTGACTCATTCACT